TAAATATAATCATCATCATATTTGAATCCATGCCTGCTTACTTATTGGAAATATAAAGGAGGAGAACTCTTCTTGTCAGGCCGGCCTGACGGGAACCTCCGTCCGGCCGAGCCTGTTTGGGCACCTTCCCGGTGGAATTTTTTGATGAAATTGTTTGAGCATGTTCCTCATCAAGTCTAGTTTGTCCATACCAAATTTCAGCTCAAAATTCGATCGGGAAGGCATTCAAATCTTTTTTTGAAGTTGACAGACTTTCTTCTTTTTCTTGATGAAACTGCTAGTGTCAATTGATGGATAACACTTGAAATTGAAGCCATCGCTTGAATTATGTTACCCACACATCTAAAAAATATATTCTAGGGTAAGCAACTTGGTTGGATCATTTCAGATTTTTACTTTTAAATTTGTGATATATGTTGTTTGGTTTTGAAGATTTAGTCATTTAAATTATACAACCATCAAGGCATCAAGCTCTATTAATTTTGCAAACTAGTAGTACTTTTGAAAGCTAGTAATCGAGACTGCCAAATTGGGGATGTGTTTTAAGTTTGAAAGCTAGTTTATTGTCTAATCTTGAAAACTAGAAGTAATCGAAAGTGGGGTTTAAACATTTTTTATTAAGTTTATACAAAATTTGATGCAATGGGAGAAGAGAGTGACCTTATAGCTTAATCAGATGCCTTGGGTGTTCCTATCTGTGTCATCCATCTTGATCGCAGCAGCTCATCTTTGTCAGGTGGTGAAAACAACAGCAGTGGCAGTGGGGTCTCTGTAGTAAATCACCATGATTTCATTCCCACTGCCAACCTGGATGCAAGCAACGATGATGAGTCCACCAAGAAGGGAGTCGCCCCAGAGGCTCATTCGGTTCTTCTTACCTTGGCACCTTGCTATATTGGCCAGGTCATTAGACATTCTTATCGTAAATGACTCAAATATGTGTGTCCTTGCTTTGCTGGGTGGAAATAACACTCCCAATGTCCTCCTATGCAATATAGATGAGTTTTCAGGATGGTGGCTGAGAATGGTTTGTCTGTGTATGATGATTCCTGACAGGCCTATATACGAAGTATATAAGTTCTTTTTCCTTGTTACCTGACTTGACTGCTTGTTGCCATTGTTGGTCAATATACCCGTAACCATTAAACTTGTGTATCACCACCCTGTTGAATATTTTACAGGCCACTATAATGCTACTACTATTTTCTATACAAAAAAAAAAAGTATATACAATATTTGATTTGAGAATGGCCTTTTCCCAGTTTTATATTTCAAGCTTTTATGCATTTTTACTTGAAATAAAGGTTATACACGAACTTATACAATCTTTGGTTCTACTCCGCTAGACAAATTGCATATCTCATTCTTAAACTCATAAGTGTATATAACACCTTTGGAGTATACTTAGTTTTACAGGATTTTACTATGTCACCAGTCCTCCACGAAAAATTCTGAAATTTATACTTGTCTATTAGCTCAAATGGTAGAGCAATGTGTGTCTACACATGATGTGGGTTCGAATCCCACATACACAGACTCTCTCATTGCATTTAATAAAAAACAACACTACATGTTCAAACATTCTAAGCCAATATAAAATAGTGTTCTACTTGAAATATTTAAAAGGATTCCATCGTTGCACCTTGTTGAAATAGAGCATATTAACTAAGAAATAATATTGGAGAGTTAAGGATTTTCTGTATATTTCATTGGAGGGTTAAGTCCCTATAAATATAGATTACAAAGATAGAATATTCCTATAAGATTCTATACAATAATAATATCCTAGAGTATATTCCTAAAATATTCTAAAGTATATTCTAAGGATAGAAGAATATTCTAAAGTATATTCTAAAGTATATTCTAATGTCTTCCACACTCCCCCTCAAGTTGGAGCATAGATATTTATCATGCCCAACTTGTTACATAAATAACCAACACGAATTCCATTTAATGCTTTAGTGAACAAATCTCCAAGTTGCTCTCCAGTCTTCACATATCCTGTAGAGATCAATCCTTGTTGTATCTTTTCTCGAACAAAGTGACAATCGACCTCAATATGTTTTGTTCTCTCATGAAACACTGGGTTGTTGGCAATGTGTATAGCAGCTTGGTTATCACACCAGAGTTTAGCAGGCATTGGTGTCTTCAATCCGATTTCACTCAGCAAATGGTTTATCCAGATTATCTCACATGCCGATTGTGCCATAGCCCGATATTCTGATTCAGCACTCGAACGAGAAACCACATTTTGCTTCTTACTTTTCCAAGAGACGAGATTACCACCAACAAAGACGCAATAGCCAGATGTGGATCTCCTATCATCTTTAGATCCAGCCCAATCAGCATCTGCAAAGCATTCTATTCTCATGTGATCATGATTTTGGTAAACAATACCTCGTCCTGGTGTCCCCTTCAAGTAACATAATATATGCTCTACTGCATTCCAATGATCAACTGTCGGAGATGACATATATTGACTCACTACGCTCACAGACTAAGCAATGTCTGGACGAGTGACTGCGAGATAGTTAAGCTTTCCAACCAATCTTCTGTACCTTTCTGGGTCTTCGAATGGTATGCCTTCTGAAGTGAGTTGCACATTGGGAACCATGGGAGTTGTGTTTGGCTTTGCTCCTAATTTCCCTGTTTCTGTTAGTAAATCAAGTACATATTTACGCTGAGATAGAAATATGCCTTTCTTACTCCGTGTTACCTCAATACCCAGAAAGTATTTCAATGAGCCTAGGTCTTTTGTTTGGAATTGGCTATGAAGAAAATTCTTAAGGGCCAAAATACCTGCGGTATCACTTCCTGTAATCACAATATCATCGACATACACCACAAGCAATGTGATACCTGCTTTCGTTTTTCTGTAAAAGACAGAGTGATCTGATTGACCTTTTATCATTCCAAAACGTTCAATGGATTGACTGAATTTCCCAAACCATGCACGAGGACTCTGTTTCAGACCATAAAGAGATTTGCGAAGTCGACAAACTTTCCCATACTCCCCCTGAGCAACAAATCCCGGAGGTTGCTCCATATAAACTTCCTCCTGAAGGTCACCATGTAAGAATGCATTTTTAATGTCCAACTGGTGTAAGTGCCAATCATGAGTTGCAGCGAGTGAGATAAGTAACCTGACAGATGTTAATTTAGCAACAGGAGAAAAAGTGTTAGAATAATCAACACCATAGGTTTGAGCATAACCCTTTGCAACCAATCGAGCTTTCAATCGAGCAACAGATCCATCTGGATTAACCTTAACAGCAAAGACCCACTTACATCCAATAGACTTCTTCCCTGAAGGCAAGTATACCAAATCCCAAGTACCATTAAGATCCAAAGCATTCATTTCCTCTACCATGGCATGACGCCATTCAGGATGAGACAACGCTTCTTTAACAGATTTGGGAACAGAAATAGAATCAATAGAAGCAACAAAAGAACATGAGGCAGGAGATAACTGACTGTATGACACAAATGAGGAAATAGGATGAGTACAAGACCGTGTACCTTTACGTAGTGCTATCGGGAGGTCAAGATCAGATGTAGAGACAAGATCTGAAGATGCAGGTACTGGTTCAGGACATGAGATCGAAGTCGGACCAGTATCAGGATATGTAATCACAGGTGTCACAGGTGGGGAGTGATCTTGTGCTTTGTGTCGACGGGTGTAAACCAAGTGTACAGGAGGTCTAGGGTCAGGATCAGTGACATTCGACATAGTTACTGAAGGTGTGGTCTCAGGTATAGTAACTGTGTAAATGAGTATTTCATCGTTGTCCTCATGAATATCTGTCTTGGATGATGAAAATGGTGTATTTTCATGAAATGAGACATCAATAGAAATAAGATATCGACCTGTACTTGGACAAAAACATCTATACCCCTTTTGAACTCGAGAATAACCCAATAAAATACATTTCAATGACTTGGGGTCCAATTTCGTCCGATGAGGGTTAACATCTCTAACAAAACAAGTGCAACCAAATATTTTAGGTGGAATAGGAAAAAGTTCTTTATTTGGAAAAAGACATTGATAAGGAGTTTTACCATCCAAAACAGAAGATGGCATACGATTGATCAAAAAACATGAAGTAGACACAGCGTCAGCACAAAACTGTTTAGGCACATTCATTTGGAATAGAAGAGCCCTTGCAGTTTCTAACAGATGTCGATTCTTTCTTTCAGCAACTCCATTTTGAGGAGGTGTGTCTACGCATGAAGTTTGATGAATAATGCCATATTGAAGCATAAAAGATTTAAATGGAGCAGATAAATATTCTTGGGCATTGTCTCCCCTTAACACACGAACAGGAACATTAAATTGAGTTTTAATTTCAGCACAAAATGCAGAGAAATGAGTAAATAACTCGGATCGGCGCTTCATAAAATACACCCATGTCATACGAGAATAATCATCAACAAAAGTGACAAAATATTTGAAACCAGGTTTGGACACAACTGGACATGCCCCCCAAACATCAGTATGGACAAGATCAAACGGACCATTTGCTCGTTTATTAAGTCGGGGACTTAAACTAGTGCGATGATGTTTAGCAAACTCACACGACTCACATTGTATAGAAGACACTTTATTAAACTGAGGATATAATTGCTTCATTAGTGAGAGAGATGGATGTCCTAATCGGTAATGAGCTTCTAATAGATTTCCAACCCCAAGGCAAGAGATACCTTTTGTAATTGATGTATCCAAAATATAAAGACCACCCGACTCATGTCCTTGACCAATAGTATGCTTCGTTAACAGATCCTGAAACACACAATATCCCGGAAAAAATGTTACAGAACAATTAAGAGTACGTGTGATTTTACTGATGGAAAGCAGATTAAATGCAAAATTAGGAAGACTCAAAACAGACGATAATGGTAATGTAGAAGTTGGTACAACAGTACCAGATCCAAGAACGGGTGAGGTAGACCCGTCTGCTAAAGTGACACTGGAAGCAGGTAAATGTGAGTGAAATGATGAGAATAGACTAGGATTACCAGTCATATGATCTGTGGCACCTGAGTCAATGACCCATTTTGAGGATGATGAAACAAGACATGTGTTTGAAATACCTGAATTTGCGACTACCGAGATAGGGGTAGATGAATGCTTTAGAGATTCTTGGTAGCAAATAAATTTAGCATACTCGTCTGAAGAAATAGCAATTGATCCATCAAATGAACTCGTAGCGGAAGCAACATGAGCAAGCTGATTTCCTTGATTTTTGAACAGCAACTTTCTACATTCTTTGAGCAAGTGTCCAGGCTTCTTGCAGTAATTGCATCTTATTTCTCTGCCAAACTGAGTGGTACAAAACATTCTTTTTTTTTTTTGATTTTTTTTTTTTGCAGTAGTAAGTTCAAAATTGAGATACTGCCATAAGCTACAGCAGCCTTTCCCCGTTTGTGGGCTCAAAATTTGGAGAAGAGAATTTGGAGGAAAAAAAAACTTACTCAACTTTTAAAATTGATGCGCTGACATATCGGTAGCAGTTCAAGGGGTGTCCACACATATCCGATGCTAGACACCAGCGAGGCAGCGACCAACCCACCTGGGGCGTCCACAGTATCCGATGCCAGACACTAGCGACCAACCACGAAGCTTCCTCCGGCCCACAGATCCCGTCCCTTGCTGGACAAAGAACGAGAGAAGTAAAGTATACCTGGCAGAGGACTTTCAGGCGAGTTTCAGACGAAGAGTTCCGATCAGATTCCGGCCAGAAACACGGCGTCACGCGCCGGCGCGTGAGTTGGCTGCGGAATCTTCCGGCGGCGCGTGTCACTCACGCGCAATGATTTTGGAGTGCGGACCTTGGGTGTTCGGTCGACAGTGGCAGGAGAACCAGAGGATAAGGGAGGTTGAACAGGGTTGTCGGATACCCAGTTGCTTCTGAGATCGAAGGTTCTGGCAAAAGCTTCTGGGAAGAGGTTCTGGGAATAATCGGAGGTTCTGAGATTGAACTAAGCTTCTGAATAGAGATTCTGTGTAAAGAGGTTCTGACTGGGTTGAGTTTCTTGTAGACAGAATGGTGCACAGAGGTTCTGAACTGAACTCAAGAGGTTCTGAACTGAACTCAAGTTCTTTGAGAAAGAACCGAGTGTGAAAAACTAAATTGAAATCTGAAAAACTAAATTGAAATGAAAGGCTTTGATACCATGTTGAAATAGAGCATATTAACTAAGAAATAATATTGGAGAGTTAAGGATTTTCTGTATATTTCATTGGAGGGTTAAGTCCCTATAAATATAGATTACAAAGATAGAATATTCCTATAAGATTCTATACAATAATAATATCCTAGAGTATATTCCTAAAATATTCTAAAGTATATTCTAAGGATAGAAGAATATTCTAAAGTATATTCTAAAGTATATTCTAATGTCTTTCACACACCTCATTTAATTTTCCGGGCACCCAAATTGTCATATTTTGGACTCATCGTTTGTAAATGGTGTACCTGTGCTATGTCACGGACTCCTCGTTACCCGATTCTAGATTTGTACTAGGAAGAGACCAGTAAGTTTTTTGCAATGAAAATGAATAGATAAACTATATAATACATATGTACGAACAACCTTTGAACAAAGCTGGGAACAATTATGATTAGTTCCAACTTCTGCAAACAAAGTAGCAATACTGAAATAGCAAAAATGGGTTAAACATCGAGAATGCAGCAATATCGGATTATCGGCTAAAATGTGAATTTGATTGGTTTGCTCGTAGCTTTTGTGTATTTTTACTCCCGTGCAGCTTTGTTTCATGTTATATTGTCCTTTTATGCAACTTTCAAGAATAAGATGCTGCATTTTTCGATGATCCATGTCCACGCCAATATCAAATCAGTTCTGGTACATCTATCAGGCCAGTACCAATCTTCTAAACTAGTTTGTTAGCCTTTTTGTAAATCCAATATTTTTACTCGTAACATCCAGTCACGGAAGCAGTCATACCTAGTATGTTGTTACGTAGTATATAGTTCGTTGGCTCAAAAGAGTCCAAATATGATAGTTTGGGTGCGCTAAGATCAGGGAAAAGAAGAACGAGAAATTCTATTACCAAAATGTGGGGATCTAGTCAATCAAGAATAGAATCAAATAAAATGTGCAGATTTACATTTTCAATCGTTTTATTGTATTTAATAATATGTCTTGAACATGTAAGGTTATTTTTACTTAAAGCAATCAGAGGATTTGTCTATGTGGGATTTGAACCCACATCATGTGTATACACATCGCTCTACCATTTGAGCTAATAGACATGCATTGCATTTCAGAATGGTAAAGGTTGAAAGACTAAAATCAAATAATGTATAAATTTAAGAATCTGTGTTTGTAGGACTGAACACATAGTAAAATAGGTAGTACTTCTTATTATACACAAAGAGATCACAATTGACATTTTACAGAGTATCAAATCTTTCATGTACTCATATATATGTTTCAAGTTGCATATGATTGATTCCATTTAAAGTTTTAAACAAGTTGTATCCTCGTACAAAATATAACAAACTAATACATTATATGATTACAATTTTAACAATGTAAATAATCCAATACATTATATGACTAGATTTTCAAAAGTAGGCAACAGATATAACAAAATTAAGAGTAAAACGTATAGCAAAGTAGATTCAGAAATAAACCGACCAAGATTATTTCCATGGGTTGTGATTTTTGGATGTGTGGCTAAGAGAGTGTCGAACGGAAAGACAGCTTCAATTTCAAGTTGACATTGCTAGGCTGCTGGCTTCGTCAAGACGCACGAGTCTTTTTTTTTTTTTTTTTTTTGGTTGATGCTCCGCCGTCGCAGCCAAAGCTCATGAGTCAATTTGTGGGGAAGAAATTGGGGCGGTGCAGGCCCTCCGAGTAGAGACCTCCTGCCACCGACTCTAGCCGAACAAAAATCCGGTGAAAACTGGTTTGGTACAAGTGCGCGATTAGGAAAGGAAGGGAAGATAGCAGATTACCAGAGTAAGCAGACTTGAGATGGTAAACAGGAATAGAGGTGCTGAACGACAGACGACTAGGGCAGGAGTAGAAGTGGATTGATGGAACGTTTTAATCTAGGCCATCCATTTAAAACTTAAAAATCCTACGATGGAGATAGATAATAATTTGCATATTAGAGGTGTTTCCATGTCAACCATACCCTATATATATATATATATATTAAGAATCATATACAAACTCTTCATAACTTACAAAGTGCAAATTAATCTTGTCCATCCATAACAATGAGATCATCGTGCAGTTGATGGAAAATTAAGACAACAAATTTCGGACAATTAAGGGCTTTCTGGTCATTTAGGGTTATTTTATTAATGGAAATAAATCATGACCAAAAGCTTCCATTCCCATAACCATTTTTAATGCATTTCCTTAATTCCATCTTTGTCGATCAATACACTACCTGATTTCCAGCCCAAAGCTTTCCTTCATAGTCGTCGTTATCATCTCTTCTAGTAATTCATTTTCTAGCCATGATTATTAGAGAACACCATGGAGTCAGGTACAAAGGTGAACTACGAGCTCAGGGAATCATCTGTCAAATGTGGCATCCCTACAAAAATACCTGATGAGGGAAACAACAATGAACATTGAGGAAGGTAAAGGTTTGAGCCGTAAATGAGTAGTGGTGAAGGATGCACTTTTAGATTTGGCCGGAGTGTGTGCAGGTTCGGGTATTGATATGCAATATAGTGGGTATGTGGATGCAGATGCATATGATAAAGTATTCAACTTCATATATGATTTGGATTAGATTTTTGAAAAATTTGAAAAATCAATAGCCTACGAGTTTTATTAAATTAGTACAATAAGATAGTTTTATGTGTTTTATGCATATGTTTATTAATCTATCAATGTACAGTGATATACTATATGTAAAGAATATGTAAAAGCTGAAAGCATATGAGGATTGAGGCTAATAGTCAATACACATAAAGTGTTTGTTGGAATGCATAGGTGAAATACTATGACCTAGGTGAAGAAGGATTATGAGGATTATATTGAATGCAAATATTATGTGATGAGGAATACAATTTGCACCGGTGAAGAATATGAAATGCATTTATGGTGTAATTTTATGTTTTATTTGAATATGCAAAAGATTGGGGTTTGGATGCAAACCGGAAAAAAAAAAAGATGCACAATTACTTGTGAATACAATTTGAAAATAAGTATGAAGTTTGATTTCTTGTGATTAACATTTTATGAAATTTCGAAACATGTAATATGAAGATTAGATTGTGGTGGGGTTTTACTTAAATGTGTAAATGCATATAAATGAAAATAAATTGGATTAAATGCGAGTGAAGCTTAAAAATTGTGCTTTGAAATTTAATTGACAATACAGTAACATAACAAAAAGTTGGAGAGCAGAGGAAGAAAAAAGTTACATCAACTACTGGGGTGCAAAAGAGAGAATCACAAGGTGCAACAATTGAAGTCAAGAATGATAAAGGAAAAAGACAAGGAATAGATATGATATAGTATCGCTGAAAAATAGTGAAGAGGGAAGTGTTGAATCTAGAGGTAATTTAAAGAGAGATGGTCATAATGAAGAACAAAATGGTGGAGAAGATTAGATCGATGATGTTTTTGTATCCCTGCAGAGGGATTAGAAAAAGAAAGATGGGACAGTGCCACAGGAAGAAAAGAAGCATGACTAGAAAGATGCATTTAGGAGGATGCAGGACAAATGTGAAAGCATGTATACTAGTTCATCATCAATGTGGAATAGTTTGTGATTAAAATTCCAATTTCCTATGTAGTTTTTATTCGATTTTATTTAATTTCCTATGTAATGTGTATTTGATATGAAGAGTGCATGTGTACTTGTTCAGTGCATTAGATGGTGAAAATAGATTGAATTATATATGTTATTAGATAGATTGAGTTTTTAAAAACGTTAATGAGTCCGAGAATCGTCTGATTATGGAATCACATGAAAATAACCACAGTGAGTTTTTTTACAATGTTATTAATGCATGCATATAAATTATAACTGGAGTGAATAGGTGTGGTGGTATAATGTCCTGAATTGGTGAAGAATTGATAATTATGCAAAATGATTAAGGAGGGAGTGCAAATATTTCTGAACTAAGGTGCATATAAAATATAGTGATCTGATTAAGGTGCATATGTCTTGAAATGGTAAGGCGTGAAAATGAGTTTCATATGCAATAAGATGTAAAAGAAAATGAAGATTTAAAAATGATTTTGAATTGCAATCGAAATTGGTCACCAACAAAATGAGATGCTCTATTATGCATTACATATCATACGACGATGCAAAATTGTGATATATAAGGTGCATATTGTATCAAAAAGTATGGGGCACAATGGTCTGTGTGATGAGCGTAAGGAAATACTATGCACATAAATGCATTGAAAAATGCATTTGAATGTGATGTAAACTGCTCAATGTGTAAAGTAAAATGGGTGACAGAAAAAGGGTCATCACTAAATGAGATGTGCACGTATAAGACAAAGTGGTAAAATGGAAAGAACAAAGCATTAAACTTGATTAATTGCACAAATTTGTTTACAATGTACACTGTACACATAATACATGGAAGAATATAACAGAACAACGGAAGTAAAGAACTAAGTTGATATTATAAATCTATTCGTTTAAGAGGCAATTCCTCCTATCATGAAGTGCCATCTCATTACACGATCTCCTGAGCCTTTTGGAACATATTGATTCTTCAATAGATACCTCAGAAAACTTGATCATCTGACCAAAATCAATCTGCTGCAAAGGATGCACAATCACTTCAAAATACATGCAATGGTAGTGAAACTCGTCAAATGCAAACAATTAATCCACACATATTTCCAAACTAAACATGTTTTACATCCTATCCTAGTGAAATGACATAAATTAACTAACAATAGAAAAAAGAAAAACATAAATAATAAATATATGGAATAAATGCATAGTACACTTATGAAACTACGCAGGCTATCACAAAAGAGTTCATGATTCAATTTACTGCATCATGCAATATCTTTATATGCACGTTAGATCAAAATGTATTGCAACCAAGTCACATTAATTTTCTTGTAGTAAACTTCCACAGAACAATATAAGCACATGCATCAACACATTTCATTTAGATCTTAGTCTACAACTTAACTCCCATATACAACATCCACACTGACCATTGAATTGCACCTTTACCTAGACTACTTTGCACATTAATTCAAACACATAAAACCCACACTCAACTGCACAAATATGATAATAGGAACACCAATTACGAACACAAAACCCACCTTCATAACCAAAATGCACTTCATTGATCCTTAAGATGCACACTTCATTCAAGTGGCAGTCCATATTAGCAAAGAACTTAATCATTACAAAAAACAACGCGAAAAAAACTTCAATCAATCTGACGTCCACCTCAAATGCATTCACACAACTCTCTTAGTGCATATCAAATAAAAAATCGTCTATGTAAACAGATTAATCTAAGCAATACAAAAAAAATTAAAAAACCTCACCTTCTTCGCACGCCACAATAGTGTGTCGAAAAGCATGTTAAGGGACTGAAGCCATATGCGCTAATGGGATTTAAACCGTCCTTGATATCCATAAACGGCGTCCTTCGTCGACCGTCAAGATTTTGCCGCTCACAAGGAAACCTTCTTGCTTCTTCTACCTTGGTTGGTTGGTGCATTAACTATTGGACAGACCTCTGCAAATGTCCTTTTTTGATTTGCTATTCATGTGTGGTTGAAATCGTAGTGGGGAGTAGTGCAATTTCTGCGATTTCCTTCCTTATACGTATTTGGCGGTTCTCATTTAACATTTGTCAAATTACTTTTTCATCCTTACTTACTAAACGGTTGTTGTTTTGTCCCATTACCCTCCTACGCAGCGCACGGCATGTTACGGTGTGTAACATGTTTTCAGCCCTTGATTTGTCTAAAGTGGATGCACGTGATTGCTTTGCATTTTGTATGGGAAGCATTGTTTGTATGTGATCTCCTCCCTATATATATATATATATATATATATAATGACTAAATCCTATTTGTCCTTATTAACATTCTAAGCACAATATTACAATATTTGATTTCCTTTTACCTTTACATGTATTCGGCGGGAAAATTTGAGCAAAAATGTAGCAATTTTGGTATTTTATATTATATTATTATATAAAGATATTGTTGCATAAAATAAATAAAAATAAAATAAATGTTTGATAGAAATTTTTTTGTACCAAATTAATACTTTTATTATTATTAGTATTGTTATTGTTATTATTATTACAATATTAATAAATGAGAGAAAAATTTATTACTAAATTAGATTTATTGCCTTGTATAGCTAAATTAAACTTTGACATGGAACATTGCAGTCAAAATTAGATCAAAATTACCATATCAATGATATCATATGGCGTGGAAAGCATTCCATTCATTATACATACGTAGTACGGAGTATAGTTTAGGCACACATAAGAGTATTTAATGCTCTATTAATTGATTGATTTTTCTTGCACAAAAAAAAAGAGTATTAATTGTACGGAGTATAGTTTAGGCGTGTGATTGATTTTTTTTCTTGCACAACTACATTGGCGGAGAGTATATATTTCAAGCACACATATTACATATTTAGTCATTTTTTGGGCGGGAATTTTCCCTCCAATAGTGGTAGCAACTCTGCTACTTTATATAATATAAATAAATATAAAGATTAGAAGTCTCACACATTATATATTACTCCCTCCGTCCCGCTAAGATTGTCCCAGATGTTATTCACTTGGTCAACACAAAGCACTCTTAAATTCTTACTTTATATATCAAATTTGATTCAGGTTTTTGCAATTTTGTAGAGCTTTTAATGTAGTTTCTGAACTAGACGAAGTACCCATGTGATGCACGAGGTACATAATGTGCAATTTTTCAAAATAATAAAAAAATGATAGGATTTATATGCTTTAACTTTTAATAAAAAGGAAAAATTCACACCATTAATCCCACTTATTAAGATTCTTCCAACAATAATCCCAAATATAAGTAATTCCAGTATAATCTAATTTATTTGGGGTATCTTCTCAAAATGATGTGCTAACCTGAATGAAGCAGGTCATCAGGTCTCCCGTCCATGTGTCTTATTCTGATTGGACTTATACATTTTTAATTTTTTTTTGTTTTGATTTATTATCTTTTTATTTCTTTCTCTTCAGAAAATGCAGCTCCCTTGATTCCTCCGCTCGGATCTTCTCATTAGTTCGCCGCTTCTCGCCTATCTCCCCCTTTCTTCTTCCGATCTGCCCTACTCCTCTCAAAATATTCATGGATTTCCGGCCTATTAATTTAGTCTGCAATTCTGCACTCTCCTACACCCAGTTGGTCTTTGACGCCGGCCTCCGTCCATATCAGCGCCACCATCCTTCCGGTCATTCCAACTGGCTTAGGGCTTGTTTGCAATCACTTAATTTAAGTGATTGTGGTTTTTTTAAAGAAAAAAACACTTATTTTATTAAACACTAGCAACTTTTACTTTTCTCGGCTTCTATGTAAAATCTACTTTTACTTTTTCTATTACACAAAAAGCACTTATTTCACCAAACACTACCAACTTTTACTACTAATCACTTTTTCTCAAAAAGTGTTTTTATTCAAGCACAATCACTTGGAAACAAAGCCTTAGTTCCATGATTCAATAGGTCAACAGTTCATTTTTTTCTCGCCCAATGCTGAACCATGTCAAATTTCAGTTTGAATTGTCCAAATTAACTTTTTCAAATCCGAAATTGAAACAAAGATATACAAATTTGAGCATGGCCGAAACCTTAAATAAAGAAGATGAAGGTGGTGGTGAGAAAGGGATATTCATTTGCCTCAGAGAGAGCAAAAGAAGAGAACTGATCGAAGAGAATAATCCATGGGTAGGACAAACCTGAATCCAGAAACCATGTATGTAGTCCAAGCCATTCGAACAATTATTTTTCCTCTTGAGTGTGATGCCCTCATGCCAGTCGATTGCATCTGGTGGTCTTAATGGGATAAAGAAGAAGAAAGGGGTGGGAAAAAGTGAAAAAGAAAAAGAAAGCAAATGGGGGAGATGACCAGAGGTAAAGGCGTAGGATTTACTTTCCTTCTTTCTTTTTTTTCATTTCTTTTTAATTTCTTTACTTGTTTAGTAAGTAGCAATATGAGAAGATTATCCTTGAACTTCAGATTATTTTAGAATTACACATATTTGGGATTAATATGAGAAGACGGTTAATAGTTCAGATTATTAGTGTGAATTTTTCCTAATAAAAAAGAACGGTAGGATTAAAGTACGTTGTAGTAGCGGTAGAAAATAAAATTTGGGATCATATTGAAAAGTAAAATAGAAATAAATGATAATATATAAAAATAAGCTCTACGTCACTGCGTGACAGTTAAATAACTTGGTAGTATAATTGTTAGTGAGTGTCATAAAACTTTATACATAGTGAATAGAACAATCATATGTGCTGTCAAAGTTCAAAAAAGTTTCATATATAAAATTTAAAAACTTCTTTATATATCATATTATTGGTGGTGTTGATAGTACGACCCTCGTCATCGACCCTCGTCATCACATATAAGAATCTTCATCTCACTCCTTGAGATAACCCTTGACATGAAAACATACAATTGTCATTGGCTTTTGTTTATTATCACGTCAAATGTTGATTGAGAATTGCCCGTGTCGATATTTATGCTATCTGAGGGGACCAATGATAGGCGCTGAATAAAAAAAAAATTACCAATACTTTTTCCGGATTTAACCTTCGCCTGCAAAACACATATATTCCACCAAGTAATAATAGTAACACCAAACCTTTAGTCCCAATTTATGGTTTCGTATCCCTGATGGATAATGGTGTTCATTTACTCTTAAGTATGCACTTCACCAGATCTTGCAACAGTGTTCCCTTCAAGTGAATATAGGATGTCAAAACTCAAATAAGTCTTCATTTCTCCAGAAATGACGGGTAAGTATGTGCTACAAACAATTGAAGGAATGAGATCACTTGAAGTGGTAATTAGCATATTATCATGACACCATGTATATATGAATGAAGACCTCTCCATCTCTAACATTCTCAATATTTTCATCTTTTATTTTGAGGACCAAATTTGAGAAACTTTTAAATTCATCAAAATAACAATGCATAGAATCACATTGTAGCCTCATATAATTAAATGTTTGGGTGGACAATTAAATTACTCATTGAATATCTTGGAAAGGGCAACTAAATTACTCTTTGAATATCTTGAGCGAGATTAATGCATGTTTGGTAGGCATAAGTCCCTACCTTCCAGTTTTTTTGTACTATTAATTTTTTTTGAAAAGATTCTAGTTGTATGTCTGACATTACAATTTATAAGAGCTTTTTAAAAAATAAAAGATCTTTTGTTGAGATGCTACGTTGAGTAGCATCTGAGAAAAGTCTGTAACTTTTAGTATGAAGAGAAAAGGGTCAAATAAGGCCTTATACTATTATGAAATGGTCATATAAGGCAATGTACTCAATAAAGTGTCATATAAATACATCTACTTATAAAAAACAATCGCATAAGTCCTAATGACCCTTTGACAACCTCTTAATCACGACTTTAGGTCACATGTCGTTATTTTTATCTTGTATTTAAGTCAATCATACCTAAATATTCCACGTCAATCATATTGTAACATCCCAAATTTATATACGACATTACAAAAATATCGAAAGTAAGAAATAAATGCAAAGTTTTATTTGAAACGAAAATGAAGTCATGGGATGTAGTGATTTAGACAATATGTTTAGTAAAATAACCGAGGAAAAATTTTAAATTGAAAGTTTTAACTATGTCCGAAAACATACGTAATGATTTAATGGCGGGTAGTTGCTATATTTTTCCTCTATAATCCCCTTTAATAAGCTAAGCTACGTGAGGATGTATAGACAAACATGTGATATATATGGATCCTACTTGGCCTAATTTTACTAAACAATACTGAATAATTATAACTTATTTTACTGGCAACTTGTTAGAAATGCATGTTGTGTGTATTTGGACTCATTGACACACGGCCAATTAATTTAGAAGGGACAAACATCCATAATATATGTGACCTAATAATAAAAGGAAGCCTCTAGAGCAACACGCGGCAAAAGCAAATGAGGTATGAATGCACTAATAGACATTTGGACAGTCATGCAAAATAAACTCCCTACAAATGTCTAGTGTCATGCATAACCAAACAAATAATAAATAAAAGCTACAGAGGTTCATATGCTACACCATAGGGGCGGTCCTGACAATTTATAGGCCCGGGACAAAAGAAAAAAAATAAGCCCCTTATTTTATACGAAGTATATTGTAAGAATGTAATATAAAAATTTCATTGTCAAAAAAAAATCATTATACAAGTAAAATACTTTACTCGTCAATTAGCTTCCTTTTTTCTTTTTTCGCTGCCAAATAAATATTTCTTTGTATGTATTTTATATAATATTACAAGAAAAATAAGAGATAACCTGAAAATTTTGGTAGGGCTACGGAAAGAAATCTTAAAAAATGTAAGGGCCGGCCAACACTTGCAATATGTAATCCCTGCGTAAAGCAAAACAATTAAAAAACTTTCATCAATTAAGCACAAAGCTCGTAAGTCACGATAGACAGTTCCTAGCAAAAAAGCCAATAGCAATTTGAAATTGTATGGAATAATGGAAAGTGTTTTGCAGAATACACCTATTCCAGAAGTCCAGAAGTCAATTGAATTAAATTCGACCAACAACTTTGAATTCCTGTTAATCCAATACATAGTATATCTTGTACTACGTACAATTCAATGTATCTATTATCGTCTATATGAATCATAACTAAATACGCTTCTAACCAAAACGAAGTAGATTAGATAATTAAAAATAAATAAACCTGTGAAATTAATAAATTTCCGAGTATATAATTAGTAAACTAAAATACCTATTATTCTATTACTCTGCCCGTTGAATCCTTTGAGAGGTTCAACTGTTCAGTCGTCCAGAGAGGAAAAGGTAAAATCCAAAATCCAGTGATTTGAAAATTGAGAATTTGAGGATTAAGATTTGAGAGCAAGTGAACAACCAAGGTGGAAGCGACCAAGAGTGAAGAGATTAACTGAAACTATACCAAGGAAGCGGAATTAATTCCATTTTGGGAATTCGCATGGCTTCTCGGCTTCTGTGTTATGCTGCTCCGCTCAATCTACGGAGTATGAGTAATTAGTGTATAATTAGTAATTTAGTATAACGGGACTTAACGGTAATTTAGTATTAGTACATATTAATATTTAATTTAATATATATATACACTAATACTATACAAATTAGGGGCCCCTCTTCCTGGTGGGCCCTGGGCAGCAGCCCAGGTTGCCCCTATACCAGGATCGGCCCTAGGAATTAATTCCATTTTGGGAATTCGCATGGCTTCTCGGCTTCTGTGTTATGCTGCTCTGCTTCATCTACGGAGTATTAGTAATTAGTGTATAATTAGTAATTTAGTATAACGGGACTTAACGGTAATTTAGTATTAGTACATATTAGTATTTAATTTAATATATATATACACTAATACTATATAAATTAGGGGCCCCTCTTCCTGGTGGGCCCTGGGCAGCAGCCTAGGTTGCCCCTATACCAGGACCGGCCCTATAAGTGCTAATTAATGAGGACATGTCATGTTATATATCAAATCAAAAAACTTATAAGGGCCAATGACGGTTAGGATATTTTAGGGAGAGAAAAAATGTTGGTGTAATGGTACAGCTTCATGAGGTGGTACACTTTGTTATATCATTTGCACTCTTTTAAAGGTTTTTTATTTTTCGGTTTTACTTCCGTCTCAGACTCCCGTCTGTTCCATCTGCCTCCGTTACCTCAGCTGCAATGTCCTCCCACAAAAATCGGATAGCTCTCTGTAGGTAAATATCATCTTCATCATTGTTCTTATTGCAACAAGAAGGACGAACGACAGCCCATCTTCTCCAAGGTTTCTTCGTTGTTCTTTCCAGACTTCATCAATTGGGGGTTTTCGTCGTTCTTCCCAAGGACTACACTTCAGTCGACCGTCATCCTCTTCTTCCCGGTGCATCATCTCTGATTTACAGGTATTTTGCTTCTCACCCTTTCCCAATCAGTATTCGTGTGCAGTTGTGCCCTAAATACACCGCGATCTGTTGTTTTTTGTTGTGATTGAAATTGCTTACTTAAATACAAATTCCAGATATATACATGATAATCATGTAATTGTGACATTATCAAAAAATCATAAATCAAATTCTAAGTTTATAGCTAATTGAAGAGATGTAGAGTGACGTTTGTTTTGGATTTTTTAAGAAAAAAGAAATGTGTTTCGTAATGATAAATAATGCATGTATTAAGCACCTAGAAACACATTTACTATTTTTTTTATGAGAATATGATCTGATAATATTAAAACTTGAAGAGTGAAGGGAAAAAGATGAAATAAAAAATACAGCTTAAGTTCGTTATGAGTTTATCAGCTTAAGAATTTAAGATCGTTTTGATAATGTTAGTTCTAAGGGTGTATCTAAAAGCCTGATTATAAGATTTTTCTAATGTATCTGTCAAAGTCATGCCATTTCAGATTAGGGCTGCTGCATCAAGTTTGAACAATCTTTTTAATGTAGATTAATAAGAATGTACTTTTTCTGCTAGAACATCACATAGCACTCGGAGGAAGAATAGCTGAATTCAATGAATGGCATGACATTCTTTAGGAGCAGCCTGTAAGCATCCCATTCAGGTGAGATACGGGAAGGTTATACAAGATTTTAGTCTGCTCTTCGATCCCTTAAATGCGGTGGGGAATCAAAATTAACACCGACTGACATAGAAGCTAATCCAATTTTAACAAAATAAGGATTAACAAGGTAAATGTCTAAGTATAAAAAGCACTAAAGCAAAACATCGTGCCACGAGATGTTATTGTTTTTAAAAGAATGACTTATCACAGTCTTCCTTTTACTTACATAGAATGGTAATCCATCCAGCAAGGTAGGGAAAAAATAATCATTTTATGAAGCTTAACTATATAGTAAGATGGTTAAGAT